TATATAGTTTTTCTGGAGGAATTGATATTACTTCCTCCCTAGATATTTAGGAAATTGTGGTTTGTTTTGCCAGTGCTGAGGGTAGATCTCAGAACCTCATGCTCCTGCTTAGCTTTTTGCTTACTGCTGCTGCTCTACCACCTGAGCCACACCTCCTCTTCAAGCATTTTGCTGATTAGAGATAAGAGTCTCAGGGATTGGTCTGCCCTCACTGGCTCCCAACTGTGATTCTCAAATCTCAGCCTGCAGAGTAACTAGGCTTAGAGGTGTGAGCCACCAGCACCCACCTGGGCAGTTGTGTTTTGTCGTGGGGCTTGAACTCTGGGCTTGGGCGCTATCCTGCCCGGGCTGGCTTTGAACCGTGATCCTCAGATCTCAGCCTCCTGAGTAGCTAGGATTACAGGCGTGAGCCACCGGCACCCGGCGGCAGTTGTGTTTTGTAAAAACATTTTGATCGAGGTGTAAGATGCATGTTGTTCACAAATCTAAAGTACATGCCTTATTTTTCTTTAATCTGAATACCCTAGTCTGACCTCAAACTCACAATTCCCCAACCTGCAGAGTCCTAAGGATGCATGCATATACCACCATACCTGACTTGGCTCATTCTTCCTAGTGCTCAAACTGCTCTATTGAGCCAGTGGGGAACTTCAGGCTGGCTGCTGGTACATCCCAGTGTTCTTCCAGCAGTCTTGTTTTCTGGTGCAGAAATGTGTTTGGATTCATTTTCCTTCTTTCTCTGTCTCAGTTCCAAATTGGCTATTTCTCCACGCAGTCCTTTGAGCAGGGAAGTTTTGAAGTAACTGTTTGGACCCCTTGCTGTTGGTCCTTTGGAAGTTATTGGGCCAGGAGCGAGGTGTGATCCCAGGTACCCAGGAGGAATAGGTAGGACGATGATGGTCCAAAGCTTGCCCCAGGAAATTACTATAGTTAAAAAGGGCTGTCGGTATGGATCCAGCATAGAGCACCTGCCTAGCAAGCACAAGGCTGAGTCCAAGCCCAACACCACACACACACACACACCCTCCTCCAAAAACAAAAAGGGCAAAGTAAAAGGCTCAGGTCAAGTCAAGCTTTGGTAGGCTGGCAGTGTAGGCCTGTGCTGGTATTCTATCTGTCCTTCAGCAGAGTTAGCAGGCAGTAATTGTAACTGGCCACCTTTGCTTGCTTTGGGCATTAAGGCTATGCCCCTTCTGAGCAGGCACTTAGTGTTGCTCTCTCCTTAGTGAGTTTGAGAGTTGATCTGGATTTGTGGCAGTGTTTGATCAATGGAGTGCTGATGACATCTCTCTACCTCAACTCTTGCTCTACTTCCTGTGCACTTTAGACACTTAACTAGAGAGTCTACTTCTTACCCCAGTGTTCATGATGATGTCTTCTTGGCTCTAGATTTCATATGTATTAGATGTGATAAATGCCATCATGGAGGTATGTATAGCCCTTATGTGAGTCTCTTCCCAGAAGTACAGTGTTAAGTTTTGAGTTTTCTTAAAACTTTTGAGGAACATGTAGTTGATACCTAAACCAGTAAGGTGTAGGCATTTACTGACTACATGATAGTTTCTTTCTAGCCTATGCTTACTCTCAGAGTGGACAATTTGCACAGGTCTGTGGTGATCTGTACCCTTTCTGGAGCAACATAGACTCCCTAGCATAGAATCTACGATGGCTCATAGGTTCAATTAGGCTTAACCCTGAGGCCTCTCACCATCTCCTTCCCCTGCCTGCTGTGTGGGGACTGGACATGGTCAAAAGGGAGGGGGCAGCTCTGCCTCTAAGGATGGAGTGACACAGCCACACTGCTGCCAAGCCATCAGTGACTTGTCCTCATCCCCTCCTTTTCTAGGCCTCTGCCTCTTGAACACCAGTGGGTGTGCCACAGATTCTGGTGTTCCTGGGACTAAGCCCAGAAGCCCCAAGGACTCAATCACCAGCTACCACCCCTACCTGCCTGTGATCTTCTGAGCCTGGGCTGCAGCTCTGGACTCACTCCCATGCTAGCCTTCCTTGATTCTCTTTCCTTAGTACCCTCTACCTCTGGAGTCCTAGAGATGGAGATGCAGGAAGATGCTGGACACCCTGCCCTGATTAAGGGCAGAACTGGGATACCCAAAGCTCCCCCCACCCCCACCTTCCCAGTACAGGGCTTAGGCAGAGTAGAATTTTTTTTTTTTTTTTGTCGGTCATGGGGCTTGAACTCTGGGCCTGGGCGCTGTCCCTCAGCTCTTCAGCTCAAGGCAAGCGCTCTACCACTTGAGCTACAGCGCCACTTCCGGTTTTCTGGTGGTTTATTGGAGATAGGAGTCTCGCGGTCTCTCCTCCCCGGGCTGGCATTGAACTGCGATCCTCAGATCTCAGCCTCCTGAGTAGCTAGGATTACAGGCGTGAGCCACCAGCGCCCGGCCAGAGTAGAATCTTTAAGTGGGTCTTCACATTTACCTCGGGGGGGGGGGCAGTAATATCCTGAGTCTCCTCTTCATCTTGCTTTGAGGCTGCTCCATTTGCCCCAATGCCTGCTATTGATAATGGCTCCCGTCCTTTCCCAGTGCTCAGGCAGGCAATGCGACAGAAACATCTGGAAGCCCAGCAGTCCTGCCGGCCGCACAACCTGCCTGTGCTCCAGGCAGCTCAGCAGCGAGAACTGGAGGTAGGAGGGCTAGGGCATGATGGCTGGGTCTGGCTCTTTCCTGTGGGTACCTCCTGACTGTGAAAAGGACTTGGGGTAGCTCTGAAGCCGCTGGCTGTTCCCAGCCTCAACCTTGCTCTAGGGCTGGGGTGTCACTTCTCTGTGAAATGATAGGCCCTCCATGAGCCCCAGTGGCTCATTGTGAGCTGAGGTCTACACAGCAGGTGCTGAATGGGTGAGGAGGAGGGAGTCACTGTGCCCTGGTGGCTTCAAGCACATAAGAGTGCAAAGGTGGAATGGTAGTGCTAGCCAAGAAGGGGCCCAGTTTCCTTCCAAGTTGCTCAGTCAGCTGGAGACCCACATACAATCAACAAACCACGGGAGTGGGAGTGAGAATGGCTAGAGATGTGTGGCAGGCCCCAAGGTAGCCCCCAAATTGGGTTGTTGTAAAACCTCTTGAGGCCTTACGCAGGCAGAAAAGGAAGAGGCCTGGGAGTGGTCCTGGAGCCATTGCTATTGATAGGCAAGGTAACCAGGAGTTTGAGGCAGGCAGGAAGCTGAGCTTGCAGCCATCCTTACTTCTTGCCTGCTGCAGGCAGTGGAGCATCGGATCCGAGAGGAGCAGCAGGCCATGGACCGGAAGATTGTCCTGGAGCTGGACCGGAAAGTAGCTGATCAGCAGAGCACATTGGAGAAGGCAGGAGTAGCTGGCTTCTATGTGACCACCAACCCTCAGGTCAGTGCTCAGGCCTGTTCTGCTTACAGCCTGTCTATAGTTTGGAGTTGCTGGTTTGTTGCAGATTGTTTCCTAAAGGTATGGTCTTGATTTGTAGCCCAGGCTTTCTATCTTCCTACCTCAGCCTCCCTATTGCTGGAATTACAGGCATGTGTCACCATCATGCCTAGCAACCTGGCAGTCTGTCTGTTTTTACCACTGATCACTGATGAATGAGGCTCAGAGTCAGTGGTAGATAAGTGTGAGATGGAAGGATGGCTCCAGGGAGGATAGAGGCCAGTCCCACCAGCCACCTTCCCTAGTCCTGCTGGTTCCACAAGGCCTTCATCTGCTCCCTTCCTGCACACCACACTTGAGTGTGCCATTCTGAGACTCAGTCCTGTTGAGGAAAGAGGCCATGGCCAGCCTCCACTGAGAAGTGAAGCCTGACTTTGCTGGGCACCTCTAGAACCTACTGGAATTTTTTTTAACCACTTATAAAAGGACACCAGGTGGCAGCCTGATCCCCATGGGTCCAATTTGTTCCCCAGGAGCTGACACTGCAGATGAACCTGTTGGAACTCATCCGGAAACTGCAGCAGAGGGGTTGTCAGACGGGGAAGGCAGTTCTGTGAGCAGGTAGAGTCCCTGCTGGCCACCATTGCCAGTATGGCTAGGAATACAGCCTTGCCCACTGTCACCAGAAAGCCAAGCAGAGCTTGTCTTCCTGAATTTCAGTCACTGACTTCTCAGCACCCAGCAGTAGGCACCTGAGGAGAGGCCAGGTGGCCTCTGGTTTTAAGTTTTGTTTTGTTTTGCTTAAGCACTGGGACCATACCATAAAGAAAAGTGAGGCCCAGCCTAGCAGCTGACTGACTGCTCAAAGGCCAGGTGGAAAGCTGGACTGTTGGCTAGCACCCTGTACTCTGGGCATCTCCCAACCTCCCCGAAGCTCCAGGTCCTGGGCTGCTTCTGATCTTGGCCCCTGTCTTGAGAATTGTGGCCCCCAAGTGGGAGAGGCTGCAAGGTTCAGGTCTTGTGTGTCCCTGAGAAATAAAGATAACTACTTGTACCACACGTGTCTGGTTTCTGTTCTAACTAGAGCTCACATAAGACCCTTTCCCCATAGGGCCTTCTCCACTCTGTTGGAGCCAGCAGACTGGCTCCCTACCTGATGCAGCCACGTGGTGGGAGACCTCAGCTGGGGCTCCCTTGCTCCTAAGATGCCTAGTCTCCCACCTTTTCCCCTGCATAGTCTATGTGAGCTTCCTGGCCTTCCCAGCACTTGCCCTGTCCCCAGGCACTGTCATTACTATGTCTGTACAGGAGGCAGCAGGGGTGGAATGAGTGGGAGCACCTGCCACTGACCCAGTTGGTGGCCTGTTGGAGCAGCAGGAGCTGGCTAGGTCACTAGGACTACCGGGTGAAGGTCACAGCATAGCAGGTGGGACTGAGGGAGGGAGGTAGCCCAGCCCCACCCTGTTTGCTGGACTCCAGCATCTGCCAGCTTTCTGTACTGGTTGTAGAGTCATCCATAGGTGGCTGGGTATCATGCAGCCAGTTAGAGGTGTTGCCTGCCTGGATTTCAGGTGGGGCTTCTCCATCCATGCCACTCCCTCTTTGCTGCTCAAGCAAACAGCAAGTGAGGACACCAGCTAGAGTTGAGGCTCTTAGCTGCACCGTAGTGATTTATTGATCAGACAGACTTTCCAGTTGGGCCACTGCCCACCTGTGGGGCACAGAGTGCCTGGGTTGGACCTTGGCAGAAGGCGAGTCCTGCAGGTCCAAGGCCATCACAGGCAGCAGAGGTGGGGCCCAGAGTTGACTATGAAAAGGCAGCTCCTTGACAGTTCCTAACAGTCCTAGCAGGAATCAGATTCCACCCATGCCTCATGGCCGGCTTCCTGGCAGGGGGTGGGCACCAAGGGCACCAGGCACTATCTTCAGTAGGTCTCAAAGACAGATGTAAAAAGATGAATCCTGTGAGGCTGGGTGGGTGGCACCTGTGGCAGTGGCCTGAGGATCCCCCAGGGCTACTAAAACCCTTCCTAGGGCTTAGGTCCTTGGGGGGTAATAGCAGAAGGGGTGGTAGTAGCTCAGAAGGCAGCGGCAGCTAGGCTGGGCGGTACAAGAGGCTGCCAGTAAAGAGTCGCCGCTTCAGCTCCTGCCAGAGCAGCTGCCGCTCCCGCTGGGCACCCTTCATGATGCCGCTGTTCTCCAGGGCTCGGCGAGACAGGTAAGGTAGTACCTCCATCACAGGGCCATAGGGCACGTACTTGTACACAGAGAAGCCTGCCTGGCCTGCACACAAGATGCATGCAACTAAGTCCTCCCACCCCCCACCAAGGCATTCCTACCCCACCCCACCCAGGAGACCTGGCTCACCCAGTGGGAAGCTGATTTGGTCACACATGCCCAGAAGCTGTCCGAAATACACCTGGTGGTCAGCAGGATGCAGGCCTAGTTCCTCCATCCTGTGAAAGGAGGAGCCAGGCAGGTGAGCGCTGATCTCAGGACACTCTCCCCAAGGCACTTCACAGCCCCCATCTTAGCTCTGACATCCTGTGCTACAGCCGGATCCCACGGCCCTACACTCCAGCTGTGTCTCCTGAGGGATGGGACAACCAGCTCTCCTACAGCAGGACTTGTCTGTTCTCTTAGGCCTGTACTCATGGCCTACAGACCTCCCTCGTTCCACTTTTCCTTACCCTTTATTACTGCCTTTCCCATACATTCTTTGTTTTTTAACCTGGCTAGAAAACTGGAAAACTTAAAAGTACAGCAGTGGCTCACATTCTATTTCTATTAGCATTGTTTAGAAGGTGGGAGGGGTCTGGTAGCCTTTCCTGTCTTCATGATACCACTTATGGGACCTATTCACACTTCCAGGTGTGTTGATGACTGCTATGCTTTCCCCTGTGTCCAGGGGTCCAGACTTAGTACCTGCACTCCAGGCACCCCTTGGGGTCTGGCCAGCTAAGACCTTCTCTCCCTACCTCATTCCCAATCACCCAGGGTCCCCAGAGAACCCAGGTCTGCTCAGCTAGTTTGTACCACAGGTCCTTCTCTCCCTGGGCTGGGTTCCAATGTGAAGTCTCAGGCGATTGTGTAGGGAGGGCTCCTGCCCTTCCCCTGCTGGAGTTGCTTTCCTCCAGTTAATTACAGTCAGGGTCAAAAGGGGCACTCCCGTGATGTCAAGCCGTGAAAACACCTCCCCTGGCCAGCCCCGCAGTTCCACGCTCCTTCAGGAGGCCCTACCAAGTATCTGGATGTTAGACATGAACTTGGGACTGTTCCACTGTGGGCTGGATCCCCCGCCTGCCTCTTAGGAGGGTGAGAGCCAGCAGGTTTCTGCCCAGGCTCCACCAGGCATTTGATGATTCCAAACTCTGGGAAGATGGGGACCAAGAAAAGAAGGGGAAATGAGAGCCCTGGTACAGGCGCTGTTGGGGCTGAGGTGTGAACTATGGGAAAGTAACGAAAATACTGGAGTGTGAAGAAATTTACTCCACCTATTTCTCTACTTATTCGAATTCTACAAGTTGTGCTCCATGGGATAACAAAGAGAAAACAGACTATATTAAATTTCAAGTACAGTTTAAAATGTTCAAGAAAGCTGTCTATAGGTGGCCCACTAGAGAACCTTCTGAGCGAGGGGTACTGAGATCTAACAGGCTGGACGTTTCAATGAGCTATTTAAATCACCTTGCAAAATTTATTTTTTTGAATAGAATTTCAAAACTTTAATAAGTTGGGGGGTTGTTTGTTTGCTTTTGTCAGTCATGGGGCCTGAACTCAGGGCCTGGGTACTGTCCTTGAGCTTTTTTGCTCAAGGCTAGCGATCTACCGCTTTGAGTAACACCACCACTTCCAGTTTTCTGGTGGTTAACTGGAGATGAGAGTCTCAAGGACTTTCCTGCCTGGGCTAGCTTCAAACCATGATCCTCATATCTCACCCTCCTGAGTAGCTAGGATTACAGATGAGCCACTGGTGCCTGGAAATTGGGTATTCATTTTAAAAACTAAAGTTACTACAAATTACCTTAATGCTGCAGAGCAGCATTAAGAATGCAACTTGGGCCTGGAGCCCAGGGGGTGCTATGAGCTGTACTGTTCATTCCAATGACACCTGGCGGATCTCCATGAGTTACTTGAGCCCTGGGCCACTACCAACTCATCCCAACCACAGAGACCCTGCCAGCGGGGGCAGGCAGTGCTTACCTCTGTAGGGTGAAGCGCACTGTGTCCTCATTGTGTGATGCCACCATCACCTCAGCCTTGCCATTGTGCTTCAGCTCTTCCAGGACATAGTTGAGGCACCTGGGGAGAGTGCCACATGAGCCTGGCCCCCACATCTGAACTGCCCACTCTTATCTCTCATTGTGGCCCTGCTAGGAAAGGAGGCCCTGCAGGCCCAGAACTATTCAGGATGGCCCCCACAATCAGGAGAAACAAGAACAGCACTTAGCCCTCCTCAAGACCTTATGAATACAAAGTACTAGCAACCAGGAAAAGGAACAATAGCTGGGATGAGACTGTACACAGAGAACAAGCTGGGGCACAATGTTCCCTCATCAGACAATCCATCACTCCACAAGGGTGAGGTGGGCACCCCCTCTTCTCACCTCCCCCCCTTGCTAGCTGCCTGGATCTGCAGCTTTGCTTCTGGAAAGGGACCCTACAATCCTGTCCTGACTCTGAGGAAATAAAGAGGGTCCCTGGAAGCTTTAGGTGGGTTGGGGACCCCTGTACACCAAGGAGAAGCAGTGTCACTATCATACATTCAGGACAGCAGGCTTGACAGTACCAATTCTGAACCAGCAATTGCATTTCTTGGCTCACACACAGAACCTGATGGCCTGAGTGGCTAATGAGGGACAGGATGTTCACCAAATTCCTACTGTAATAACAGGAAAGACCATAGAGCCTGGACGCATAACCTTGGGTGTCCCATGCTGGAAACAGTGTCACTCTCTATGCTGACATAGGAGATAGAAGGTTGAATGAGAAAAGCAAGGGGCAAAGAACAGGGTGTACAATGTAAATACTCGTGGGGCTGATGTGCATGGTACCACACATGTGCCCAGCAGGCTCCTAAAATGGGTGTTGCCAGGAAAAGGATATGGAGCCAGCAAGGAGACACCAGGATCCCTTTGAATTCACCACAAGCAGACATAACCTCTGAGAGGAAAAGCATGACATTGGACTGCTTGTGCTGCTCCAAAGATCCCTGAGCTAAACAGCAAACACAGTCGGGGCACAGCTGCTGCTCATCCACTGTGTGGGCCCCAGTTGGGGGCATGGGAGAGGCCAGGTGCTTAGTGCACATCAAAGGAGCCGGCCAGGGGAAACTGAAGCCAATTCTATTCTTGAAAGTTATAATCCTTTTTGAAAAAGTGACATAAAATTAAGAGGAAATATGACTGATGCCTACATCTCCCACTCCCTGCCACCGAGCTTCAGCAGAATGGGGTCAGCACAATACCAGTGTCTTCATGAAATCTTGTTCCCAATCTACAAACACAGACATAGGCTGGCCAGCTCACCTGTGATACATGTCATTGGTGGCTTCATATGTGGGATTGATGGGATCCTCATAGCCGATCTCTGCTGCACGAGCACGTTCCTGGGCCATATATGCACCACGTACCAGCTTGGCCCCAAAACACCAGCCCTCACGGCGAGCCAGCTCTACATCTAGGGTTACATTGTCATAGGCATCCTGCAGGGGATGTGGACAGAAAGAAATGGCCATTCTTCAAGCTGAAGGCAAGTCAGGTAGCCTCCAAGAAAGCTGTTTTCTTCTTGCCCTCACACTTGTCTAAAACCCATGGCTCAAAAGAGGGGCTTGGTGATAAGGGTCCCATGAGGCCTTGCTTCCTACTCTGAGCCAGTCACCCTTGCCTTGGCCTCCCTGTAAGACAAGCCGTGGCTGCTGAGTCAGGGCCTCTTTCCTGGACAGTAGGCCTAATCTGAGATTAGTGGCCTGCTCCTTCTTCCTGTCCTATCCACCTAGTCTCTTCTCAGGGCAGGGTCAGGTGGATGCTGCAGGGCACAGAAGAGGCCCTCTACCCCCACTGCCCAGCAGATGGCCTGCAGTCTAGCCTAGAGGCCAGTGAGGAGGCCGTACCTTGAGGTAGCATTGATACGTGTTAAAGATGAGCGGCTTGTCCATGTTGAACCTGCGCTGCATTTCCAGGGCCAGGCGGCTGATGGCTGGCTGGAAGTAGGACTGTTCAGCATCCACCATGAGCCGCACACCCACCTCTGTGGCTTTCTGAAAGGAGGAGGAGAGGGTTTGTGGCTCCAATGACATAAGAATCCTCCCTCTTAGCAAGTCCCAGGGTCCTTGCCACATGGCCCCCACCCAAAACAGGACAGTTCCTACCTTAGCCAGCATATCCATCCTCTGCAACATCCTCGTCATCTGCTGCTCCTCCTCCTCGGTGAGCCCTGACAGCAGGGGCTCCAACTGCCCTGTCTGAAAGCACAGCATGTAGTTAGGTCCCACATGGTAAGGCTACACTTAGCCCACTGGTGATACTCTGCCAGTATCCCAGGACCAAAGTCTCTTCCCTTCTAGGGCCAGTGTTATCTAGACACAATGACACGATGCCCTGTAACACTGAGGTCATTCATCTCCCTGTCCTACTGCAGGGCCTGACAGCAGCAGAAGGGAGCTTAGTGCTCATGCCAGCAGCCCCAGGCCTGAGCTGGGCCTGATCGATCCCAAGGTGTTTGCTTCCACAGCATCCCTTAGGGAGTCTTAGAAGGGCTCAGATGAGAACAGGGGTGGGTCTCTGAGGGAGAGCTGTGGGGTGGCTGCCACTACAGACTGATAGCCAAGATGGTGGGCCAGGCAGTTGGGTAGGTGGGCAGTTGGACTTGTGCCTGGAGAGAGCAGAAACTTTATGGTGTCAGGAGGGCCCATAAAGTGCTACCGCCTCTCACATACCTGATGGCATGGCTCAGGATGCTCCTGGCGTGCCAAGATGAGCCTGTCCCCCCAAAAGCCTTGTCCCACAGGACACAAATACTGCATTATTCCTGGCCACCTTGAAGCAGAGCTGCCCTCACGTATTATATACAGGTTAGTGGCTCAAAGTGTTGGGAGCTGGGCCCTGCATCGACTGGGGCAGGAAATTTCATGGAAGACTAGTATGCAGGACTTATATCCTACTACAGTGTGACATCAAGATTCCTATTCCTAGCAGGGCATCAGTGGCTCACGCCGGTAATCCTAGCTACTCAGGAGGTTGAGATCTGAGGGTCATGATTCAAAGCCAGCAAGGGCAGAAAAGTCCCCATGAGACTCATTCCAATTAACTACTCCAAAAAAAAAAAAAAAGGAAGTGGTGTTATGGCTCAAGTGGTAGAGCACTAACTTTGAGAAAAAGAGCTCAGGGACAGCGTCCATGCCGTGAGTTCAAGCCTCACACTGACAAAAAAAAGTCTCATTCCTCATCCCTTGGCAACTCACTTTGAATCAACCAACTGAACATGCTAGAATTAACACTGTGACTTTAGAGGCCAAGCTGCCTGGCCCTCACTTAAGGGAGCACTCGCCCTTAGAATAGCATTCATGTTGTGAGGAAATACAGCCAGCAGCTAGGACCTCTGTGACCACCTAGCCAACTATCTTAAATAAAAATGCACAGAGGACCCAAAAGAAAGCCACCTAGCTAAGCCCTGTCGATAGAACCACAACAAGAAATTGAATGACCCTTGCCAGTCAGGCACCAGTGGCCTATGCTTGTAATCCTGGTTTCTCAGGAGATTTGAGGATCAAGGTTCTAAGCCAGCCTGGGCAAGGACATCCATGAGATTCATCTCCAATTAAAAAGCTGGAATTAGACCTGTGGCTCAAGTGAAGTAAGGAGGTCTGGTCTGGCCGGTGCCATATTGGCCACATGGGTGGATTGTAGGGTCTAGCATCTTGCCTTCATGCTGTGGGAAGGAACCCCCCTCCCTCCCGCCCCCCATCACCTGCCTCCCAGGTAATGGGCCTGCCCAGACCCCTGGAGGCAGGGGCAGGCACTTGACGGACTGAATCTGTCAGTCCAGTGCCTGGGACTGGGAATTTCCTGAGGATCTGCCCCCTGTGCCAACCTATTTAGGCCCGGACCAGCCTAAACGCCAGACACCATGCCATGTGTGTCTCTGTGATCATGTCCTGTGTCCTGTCTCCTGGCTGTCTCCAGTCATCATGGCGTCCCACTGGAGCTGAATTGCTTGTTGGCATTGCTTTTTTTTATTTCTTTCCTCTTTAGCATGTTTCCTAGATGTGTTATGTGTATTTGTGTGCTGCAGGCCTTTGTAACAACTGGCGGCCTGTGGCCTGTTAACTGTATAATAAAGACTCCAATATTCTATATTTTAAAATGTGGCTTCTGGGATGATTCAGCTTACAACAACAGAGCACCAGCCTTGACTGAAAAAGCTAAAGGACTGCACCTAGGTCCTAAGAGACACATCATGAGCTGAATTCTCTTCCCAGCCCTGTGCCATGCTGAGCCAGGGCCCGAGGAAGGGGATGCTACCTGTGTGTTCGGGACCACCAGGTGCTTGGAGAGCTGGGTTTTGCTGTCGATGAGGGAATTCCAATCCAGCAGATCCATGGTGCTAAGGAACAAAGTGAATAAACAGAGTTGGCAACGAGGAACTTCCTGGTCCCACCAGGTAGCTTTACTCTCAGGGGCTAAGGTTGCTTAAGGTGTCCCAGACACAAGCCAGCCCACTCCTCAAAAGAATGCTTCCCAACTCAGCCACCACAAACCTTTCACTTTAAAAAATAAAATGCTGCTGGATGCTGGTGGCTCCCCCTGTAATCCTAACTACTAAGGAGGCTGAGATGTGAGGCTGAGCCCCATTAATGGCACATAGGAAAAAAAAAAGAAAAAAATATTGTTCTCCATATAAAAAATTAATACTAAAACATGAACATTCTTGAGCTGGAGTGGCAGCTATAAAAATATGAGTGTGAACGCCAAGACTGGATCAGATTGAGCCAAACAAAGGTAGGAGATGAGGTAAGAGGTGGGGACAGCCACAGAAGGGCTGGGAAAACTGCAGCCCAGGGATGCTTGTCACTGTCAGTGACTCCACCTTAAGCCATCTCCCTGACTTAATGATCCCTAATCCTGAGGATGAAGCATGTGGCTCTGGTGCTTCATACAACAGAGGCTTTCTCTCAGGAGGGCTGTGTATGTCCTCACTCTCAGACCAAATAATTCTGTAAGAAGCCCTGTGTCCATGCTGCTGAGACCCAGTACCTCCCAGATACCATCAGCCCCTGCTCAGTATCTCTCAAGGCACCACCGCAACCATCCCCAAACCCATTTTCTCCAGGGAGGAGACTAGGATTAGGAGAAGCCACTGGAGCTCGGCTGGAATCATGGCTACATCTGGAGCTCAGCTCTTACCCAGACACTCCCAAGGTCTCTGGCGTGAACCAGTCTTCAATCTCAGCCCTGGATGCGATGCCCATCTTTGCCACACTTTCCTTGAGAAGTGAAAAGGTTGAGTCAGTGTTGTCTTCAGGCTGGGTTCAGTGCACCCTAAGTTTGTGGTGCTGCTTTAGTTTTTGTTTTGTTTTTGTTGTTGGTTGTGGGGTTTGACCTAGGCCTGGGCACCGTCCCTGAGCTCTTCAGCTCACGGGGAGCACTCTACCACTTGAGCCACAGAGCCACTGCCAGTTTTCTGGTGGTATATGGGAGATAAGAGTCTCTCAGACATTCCTGCTTGGGCTGGCTATGAACCATGATCCTCAGATCTCAGCCTCCTGAGTAGGTAAGATTACAGGCTTGAGCCACCAGAGCCTGGCTGCTGTTTTACTTTTATTACATCATTAGTGTCCCTGCTTCATAGATAAACCTATTTCTGCCCTGCAGCTTCCCTACCTCCTGCTGGCATTTCCTGTCCTTGTTATTGTTAGAGTTTGAATAGGAAATATCACCCCACAGGCTCATGGATTGAATACTTGGTTCCTAGTTGGTGGCACTATTTTTGGAGGCTGTAAAAACTTTAGGAGGTGGGGCTTAGCTGGAGGAAGTTGGTCACCGAGAGCAGGCTTTTAAAGGTGATAACCTGCCCCATCCTTACTTGCTCTCTGCTTCCTGTCTGCCATGCTTCTCCACCGTGCCCTCCCTGCCATGATGGACTGCGCCCTCAGAAACCATTTTTCCTCCTTTTAATTTTATCATGGATTTTGTCACAGCAACAAGAAACTAACACAGTTGAGGAGTGGAGCCCATCCAGAGCCCTTCTACCAACAGGACCATCTTTCTTCCCTCCTCCTCTTCAGCTGATCCCAGAAGCAGCAATAGGCCACATCCCAGGAAAGGCTCCAGGAGCCACTCTGGACCACTGTCCAATCAATTCCCAACCACCCTGGCTCCTCACACCCCCAGGGAAGGGGAAAGAGCTGCCATACCTGCAGTGCCACCACCTCCAGCTTCGTGTCCATGGCAGCACGCCCTGCCTGACCTTGCTCAGCAGCCATTTGGTGAAAGAACCGTCTCCACTTGGTCAGCACATCAGAGAACTGCAGCTGGAAACACAGGCCTGAGGCCACTGTCTGTAGAGCATTCCCAGTACCCACAGAGACCATATTGCCTCCAGAGACCCTGGGGACAAACCCTGTGTCTGGGCACATCTACTGTCATCAAGACTCACAGAAAACCAAGGTCTTACAAAGCCTCTACAGAAAACCAAGGTCTTACAAAGCCTCTACAGATGGAAGGTGCCAATACTTACCAGAAATTGGGGTCTCCCCAGTGCAGTTAGCTTAATGGCTGCAAAGCCGTCATCACTGGCTCCACCTGTCAGAAGCCAAAGGATGAGCCATGGGGGTCCCTGATGAGGTGGATGCTTAAGTGGGAAAGAGAGATAACTTGCTTTCTTCCATTCCCTGCTCTCTAAAGCTGGTCCTGCAGCCAGGTGCCTAGCCACCCTTACCTATGGCTCTTCCTGAGACTTTGCCATAGAGGTAGAAAGTGGTGACTAGGCAAAGTTTGTGTTTGCCTGGTGCAGGAAGACAGCAAGAGAAGCAGCCAGTGAGACCTGCACAGCCCTGGCAGCCTCCCTGTCTTCCTCTCTAGGAGTTAGCACTGCAGGCTTTCTGTGCGTGGGTTACAGGATACTGAGAGTCCAAGAACAGAGTGTGGACACAGTCGGTTTTCATCTATGCTAATGGGCCCTTCCCCTTCTGTTTTCTCCCAGGGTGGGCAGGGGACAAACAGATGCCCCTCACCAAAAGGACTGGCTTAGTATTAGGGACCCTTCTAGCTCATTAGGCAGCTTCTTTTAAGCACCACACATGCCCTTTTAAAATATTCAGAAGGTGTGGGACCTACTGCCACTAATAGCAAAGCTGCTGAGGACAGCACGGGGGCTGTGCTGGGATCTTGTCTGGAGCTCAGTGATCCCATGGCTAACCTCACCCCAGCCCACACAGGCTATAACAGGGAGGGATCCCCTGACACAAAGGATATGGTACCAGCTATCTGGACTGGGTCTGGCTCCTAGAGTTGGGGATTCCAGTGCTTCACATCTGGGCACCATGCCCAGAAGAACAGGAACAGAGTGAGGAGAAGGAAGAGAGGGAAGAGTCTTTCCAGGAGGCAGCCAGGACCCTTAGGAAGGAGCTGGACACAGCATAAACCCAACATGACCTGAGCCCAGCCCTTTCACCCCTAGCCTTCTGTACCCACTGGCAAGTCCAGATTGGGGCCTGGCAAGTGCAGCCAGCAGAGAGGCCCCACCTGATGCCTCAATGCAGCGCAGGAAAGTCTCCATGTGGCTGTCACACTTGGCTTCATTGGCATAGAAGTAGGTGCGGGCACTAATGACACCATCCCTGCGGTCTCCAAAGGCACGGTGGGCCTGGTATTGCTTCTCCCTTTTATTTGTGCCTAGAAAGACGAACACACAGCTTAAGCACAGACACAAGCTCTGCTTGAGCTACAGCTGCAACCCCCAAACAAACTGACATCCCAGGGCTCTAGCCCCACCCTAGCTGTACCTGTGCCATGCTCCCTGCCTCCCCGCAAAGCTGCCCTCCCCTCAGGGCTGCTGCCCTGGCTGCCTCTTCTACCTGGGCATACATATCCCCCAGCTAAGCCTCATCCCAGGGCAAACGAGGCCAGGAAGTCTGCATCTCTGTCACAAAGGCCTGGTTAGTTGTTGCCTGCTGAGGGCCAGGGGAACTGAGTCCATCTGGGAGGGTCGTGAAAACTAAGCAGGAGCCTGCCCCTCCCCTCACCAGGGGCTCTCAAATGCTTGAGAGCACACAGAGCCAGGCTGACACAAGGTCTTATTCCTCGCCCCAAGACTTGCTCCAGCCCAAACACAGATGTCTGGCCACCAGGGGTGCACGTGGGGAGAACACCTGACCCTGAATAGAGGCCTCTTACCACTGCCATCCTTCTCTGCTGCAGAGGTGCATGACCTGCAGAAAGGAGGAAGAAGCAAAGGTCACCGGTTACCATATCACCTGAGCTACAATTCACAAGGAAGCAGGCCAGGGAGAGGCAACCAAGGGTGAGCCATAGACCTAACCATGAACTTGACCAAGCTGGCTACAGAACACGGCCCAGCCTCTCCCCAAGCCTCAGGCATGACTACCTGAGCTAGGGAGGGACAGCTGTATCAGAGGCCCTTCAGCACCAAGAACCTCTGATTTCTGATGGGTGGAGCCCCTCTCTGTTGGTCAGAAGCAAGGAAAACGATCATGAGATTCTCAGAACAACCCAGGATGTACAGATAATTCTTGAGAAAAACTAGTGAGGATAGCATTACTTCTGCCCAGAAAAGATGGTGGCGCAGACAGGTGAGGATGACAGGGCTGGAGGTGGGAAGCAGTGTCCTCTAAGTCCAGCAGCAACTTCTCTATATCTAGCTAGGATTTCCAGGCTCCAATGAAGACTACAGTCCCACCCAATGGGCCCAGCCTGATTGTTGGAGCCGGGGCCTCCAGAGTGCTGAGATCACAGGCGTGTACCCACCCAGCTCTCCGCTGCTTCATGCTTGACCCTTGGGTCTTATTTTCAGATTGTTTTCTTTCAAAATGAAAACCAGATCTTATCCCACTCTCAGCTATTCATGTGCCTGCTCTTCACATTCCTCCCAATTAGGGTACATAATCCCCTGGCTAAGTCCATGTTAAAAGGCCTCCTAGGTTTACCTCATACCTTAAGAATATCCTAAATCCTCCTCAGAACAGGACACTATGGGCTGTATGATGGCCGTCACAGAAAAGGGCAGCAACTTTCCCCCTACCATCCCTCCAGGCATAGGCAGAGCCAGGGAAGTGATGACAGGTTACAGTTAACTCAGGTAGCAGGGGCCTTGCTACTAGTGTTTTAATGAAGTCACTGTTCCTAGAGCAAGTCCTGGCTCACAGAGCCATGTCCAAGAAGCCCTCCCCTCAGCCTGGTTCCTGTCCCAGGACCCTTATCTGAGGAACCCTGATCTAGAAACTCTAACTCAGAATCCAGAAATCATGGTTGGATCAGACTCCTAGGGGCCTGGGACTCTCCACGTGGCACCGCAGCCCACAAAGCCACAGCCTGGGGACAGGAACAACGTAGCTCCAGCCACCTTGTGCTGACAAGATGCAACAGAAGAGGGTAAAAAGAAAAATCACCATCTAACAGTGATCTGACTCTGTAATGAGTAAGCAGGCAGGCCCCACACACAACCTTCCTACCCTCAAAGGACACTGGTATGAGCTCTAGAGAGAGCAGGCCTGGGCTCAGGAACAACTAACAAAAGCTGTCCCCTGTGCCCACTCAGGCAGAGAGAGGAGGCAGCTCTGTGTTGTCCTGGGCAGAATCCCTCATGATGAGGAAGGAAACATTGGGCTTCAATGACCCCAGGGAAAGGTCTGCCTGTATAACCCACACTTTAGGTAACTACACAACCAAGCAAACACAACTGCTAGGTTTGGCCTCCATCCTTCTGTGCTTCTTTCCAATAGCTAGGCGCAGGCTGAGGCCTACTCTCAATGGTCTTAATTCAAGGTAGTGGCCTCAGCATTTGACCTTTGCATCATTCTATGAGCTTCTGAGTGGAGGATGGGGAAAAACCTCATCTTGTCCCTGTTCCCCCACTTCCCTCTCCTAAGAGAGGCTGAAGCAGCAACCCACACAAGGGTCTGTGGGGGCAGGCTGCAGGTACACCAGGGAACTCTGCAGGCCACAAGACAGGGTTGGTACCAAAGGAGTTCTGCAAGTCCAGCTCTGCCCTACAGCCTGGGCACCTTCAAAGTCAGAGCCACCAGCAGCAAAGATAGGTATGAATCGTTGTCATCTGTCCTTGACAAGCAGTCACCCAGGAAGAGACTAAGGCTCATGTCCCCAGAGTACAAGACAAGAAGCCCAGCTGAGACCCAGTCTTTGCAGGGCAAAGGCCATAGACTTCTAAGAGCAGGGTAGGCTGGGGTGAGCCCCAGGACCAGGTGCAGCAGGTCCACCTCTACATTTTTTAGGGGTGGTATGTGTGTGGGTTGTCTCACATATAACGCACACAAGCCTTGAACTCTGGATTCTCCTGTCTCAGCTTCCCTAGTGCTGGGATTCCAAGTGTGAACCACCACCACACCCAGCTTCCATCTCCCATTTTTCAAAGCACAGGCACCTAAGAGAGAAATTCTTGTTATGAAACTACAAGTCCCTCACCAGCTCTGGGACTGAGGCCCCAGAGCCCATTAGTAATTCAATAGGCAGCTTCAGTAATGGTTGCAGCCAAGTCCCGGGGCAAAAGGGGAGCTGGGGCGGGGGCACCCCCACCTTCAAAACAGCCAGTCACAAGGCAGGGGCCGGGCTCTGCAGGCCAATCAGGTGCAGGCCAGCAGGTTGAGACAAGAACTGGACATTCTGTTCCCAGGACTGAAGGTGTCATGTGACTGCCTTTCTAAATCCCCTCCTGGTAGCCACCTGGGGAGGGGCAGAGCAAACCCTGGCGCCTGACAGGGTTCAGAGCTTGCCAGTACCAAACCCTCCTCTGATTCAGATTCTGCTGCATTCAGAGCCAAAGAGCCCATATTCATAAGAAGACCTGGATTTGCCTGGAGGAGCTTCAGGCACCAGTACTTCACAAAGAATAGTCTTCCATAGACCTCCTGTGAATGTGTATCCCAGGAAGCACAATAGGATATTCTGTCCAGTTGCCCAAAAGGATACATCAGGGACACCAGTCCCCTACACTCACTGCCCAGGGAATGGGTCAGTGATACCAGGAAAAGACGGCAGGCTGGCCTACCACATAGCTCTTTGTTCAATTCCCTTTGCCATGGCTACCCAGGCAGAAGCCCAGCCTGGGAGGCCCCATATGCTCCAGGCAGAGTCTCCTGTAGATTAAGAAATTATTTCAAGAAGGACTGGGGTCAGGTGAGGGCCAGCTGGCCAGCTCAGCCAGCCAGTTAGGAGCCCTTGGGAAGAGAGACTATGGCAGAGTGGGAAGTCAAGGCAGCTTCCTGTAACTGGTCAGCTAGCAAGCATTCTCAGCCTTGGAAGCCACATGTGTCACAGCTCTGCTCCTGTTGGGTAAAAGCAAGTTTTTAGTGCTTAGACACTGTCCCCTATCTTTTCTTTCTGCTCTAGGCTACCACTGGAGCCACAGTTCCACTTGTGGCTTTTTGATAGTCAATTTGTGATAAGAGTCTCACAGACTTTCCTGCCCGGGCTGGCTTTAAATCGTGATCCTCTGATCTCAGCCTCCTGAATAGCTAGGATTACAGGCATGAACCACTGGCGCCTGGCTTGATTTTTTTTTTCCAACTATTCAACAGTGCAAAAACCATTCTGAGCTAGCAAACCTGTGCAAGACCAGATAGTAGGTTGGATAGGGTTGAGGATCGTAGTCTCCACCCTCTGTTTGCCCCAAGAACACATCAGGCTTTCTGTGAGAGCTCATAGCTGTCATCTGCTTGAAACAAACATACAAGAACTTGAAGCACAACCCAACTGAGCTGCTGGTAGTTACACTGATAGCTCTCCTAGCCTTGGCTCCCAATAGTCCCAGTACACTTTGGGGTTACCACTAGATGCCCATGTAGCTCTGGAGAGAGAGGGCTTACTCCATCTCTTTGCGTTCCGCTTCCTCGGGGCTCAGATCGTCTTCTACACCGTAGTCCAGGATGGAGCCAACACCAAAGGCCTTGTTGCGATGGATCAGGGGCCGAATGGATTCCTGGTCCTCACCAGCCACAAACTGCCCGTAGAAGGTCATCTTCATTAGCCTGTCGAACATCCTCTGCCCCAAAAATTTCCTGGCAATATGGAGCAGCTGAAAGGCAAGAGAAGCAGCTGACGGAGGCCACCTGGTTTACCTTCCCCAGCTGGGAACCCTTGCTGACATCTCTCTACCTACTTGATTCCAGCCAGAGCCTTGATATGGTCTTCCCTGGGGCCAAATTTGGCCCACTTTGTTTTCTGGAGAAGACCAGCTAAAGCAGCTTGCTTATCTACTTATAGCAACCATGAGCCTACCATTATGCAGGGCAGAACAGCAGGACCCAAGTGCCACCCTTGTGACCTCTCCCCCATCTTTTCTGGATCTTTTCAGCCATGAGCACCATATTTCCTCCAAGAGCCCTTGTGCTAGAGGCTGGCTCTTGAGTCAAGCAGGCCACACAGGGGTGCCTGACCACTTCCTGGTGGGGACCACAGCTAGCTCCTAGGGGACAGCAGTAGCCATTCTTATAACACCTAGTTCTGCTGGGGAGGAAGTGGTTGCCAAATGATGATCATGTAACAAAACTCAGCCCAAGCCTGAGCTCAGCTAGAGTGAAGTTTGTCCATTTATGAGGGTCTGTGCCAGGAAGGCCTACCCTGGAGCCAGCAGGGTGTGGTCTAGCACTGACCAGATGCCTATTGGCTGTATCCCAGAGGAAGACAGTTGCCTAGAAACCATTCAGCTTTTTCTCCTAACTTCCTCTCACACTCTCAAATTTCTATCATTGACATAAGGATACTCACAGGGACCAATTGCTCATACCTATAATCCTAGCTATTCAGGAGGTTGAGATCTGAGAATCTCGGTTTAGAGCCAGTTCAGGCAAACCATTCTAAAGACAACTCCCAAGATCTTTTTTATTTCTAATTATCCAGGAAAAATACAGAAGTGGGGTCCTGGCTCAAGTAGTAGAATGCCAGCCATCAGTGAAAAAGTGAATGAGAGTGCCTGAGTTGAAGCCCAAGTAATAGCAAGAAGAAGAAAAAGAAAAAGAAGAAGAAGAAGAAGAAGAAGAGGAGGAGGAGGAGGAGGAGAAATCTCACTAGAAGTTAAACAATAATGTGATAAGGATACAGGAAAAGAGATTGTTTTGATTAAAATATAATATATGCATATGCAAAATATCATGATGAAACTCTAGGTATAATACACTCTAAAGAAATGAATGCCAAACCTAAAGTACAGTTGCAGTTCAAGTGGTAGAGCACTAGCCTCGAACACAAAAGCTCAAGGACAGAGTTCAAGTCCCAGGATTGGCAAAAAGAAAAAAAAAAAAAGACAAAGCCAGGCAGCTGTGCAGCTCACACCTGTAATCCTAATTACTCGGGGGGGGGGGCGCTGAGATCTGAGGATCTTGATTCAAAGCTAGCCCATTAGACTCTTATCTCCAAAAGCTAGAAGTGGAGCTGTAGCAAAAGTGATAAAAATGCTAGCCTTGAGTGAAAAAGCTCAGGGATACTGCCCAGACCCTGAAATCAAGTCCTATGAAGAACACACACATATTTTCTCTTTCTCTCATATACATACAGAATGACAAAAGAATAAAATAGGCTCTGTTGGGGGTTGTGTATTAGAGGAAAGGACAAGGTGAATGGAGAGAGTAAAGGAGAGTGAATATGATCTAAGTACTTTAATTTTTCATTTATAAAACTGGAACAATGAAACCAGTTTAAAACTATCTTTAAAATGAGTTATCAGCCAGGCACTGGTAGCTCATGCCTGTAATCCTAGCTACTCAGGAGGCTGAGATCTGAGGATCACAGTTTGCAGCCAGCCCAGGCAAGAAAGTCCATGAGACTCTTATCTCCAATTAACCACCAAAAATCAGGAGGTCGAGCTATGGCTCAAATAGTAGAGTGCCAGCCTTGAGATAAGAGATAGCCCCATGCCCTGAGTTCAAGTCCTAGTACCAGCACACACACAAAAAGAAAACCTATACTAATAAAATTAAAATTTCTACCATCATTCTTCAAATCTCCTGAGCTTTGGTATATATCGGGCACCACTGCAGGAATGGTAAACAATTTAAGGACACAGACAGCAATGATGTTGGAACAGAAAGGAGAGCCCACAAGGAAAGGAGCAAGGCAACCCGTGGTTTAGGACAGGGAGATAGAAGCAGTTCCTAGGGACAGAGTGGGGAGAGCCAGGCTGGGAGGAAATGGGGGTCACTAGAGTCTCTTGCATGCTCAGAAGCACATCTGCCACCCTGAGGGAAGCCTCTGTCTCCATGACTCAGCTCTCAGGAAAATGCTGGGGTTTCTATAACCCTGTGAATAACAAAGTCCCTCATGCAGGGGCAATATCTCTAGGCTAAGCAAAGGTATTAACATGTCAAATACCTCCACTCCTATACCACTCCTGAGCAGTCTCAAGGAGGCTTCTCTGGACCAACACCCGCACTTGTGACCTTGAAGCCCAGGGCTGCTTGGAAATCACCCTTGCCTGTAGCCTTCATGAACCAGCTGACATTTCTATGTTTTGCTCTTATAAGGATTTGAAACTAGAAAGTGAGTGTGCCAACATCAGAGCTGAGGATGGACCTCTGTCTTATCATGCCCAAGCCAGAGTCAGGAAACCTGTGAAACACAAGCAGCCATGATCCTGTCAGGGCAGAGCCCAGGGATAGCTGGAGGAACAGACAGATTTTTCCCAAATCAGAGATCACCCAATGGAAGGCAGGAGTTGAGTCAGGGACCTGAAAACCATCATTCAGTACTAGAAAAATTCTCTTATCTCATTTACATTAACTCTGAGAAACCGGTCAGGGGCATGCCAAGGGTAAGGATAGACAAATGTCTGTGGCAGACCCTCAACAAGGCTAACAAATGTCTGTGGCAGACCCTCAACAAGGCTACACACTGCATCTAGCCAAGTACTCTGCCCTGCCACAGCCAACACCAAGTGAAAGACCTGGTGCCAGGCCATACTTGCATCAGTAGTGCTTTATTTACACTGACAGGGAATGGCTGAAATTCCCAGGACACCCTGCAGGCTCACCTTCCATTTTCCCCCAAGGAGGCAGGCTTGGAGGGAATGACCGCTGGAGCTAGTTACGTGCCTTGCACTCTGGCCAAGGGGAGGGTGGCTGCCACGGAGGGCTGGAAGAGTACACGAGCAGGCAGGGCTGGCAAGTTTCAGCCAGACTCTACAGCCATGCGGCCACTTGCTTAAAAACCATCTTGGTGTTATGTCTTGGGATGGTGTCACCTGAGTCCCGCCTCACCTCTTCTCTCAGTAGGGAGATCCTTTGGGATTTTACAAACTTGCACTAGTAACATTATATATATATATATATTTGCTTTTACTGTAAAAGACAAACAAGCTAGAGATGGGGCTCAGTGGCTTTCCCACTTGTAGTCTCAGCTACCTGGTTGTAGAAATCAGGACACTGGCTCAAAGCCATCATTTCAACAAATAAGCTGTTTGTATTGGTATGTAACTACAACCCCAGCAACTCTGGAGACATAGGTAGGCGGATAGCAGCTTAAGGTTAACCCTGGGCAAAAACTAAGCATCCTAACTGAAAAAAATAACTAAAGTGAAAAAGTGCTAGTGGCATGACTCAAGTGGTAGAGCTCCTGACTAGCAAGAGGGAGGCCCTGAAGTCATAAACCCAACAGCAACAAAAAAAGATAAAGTCAGACAAGCCAGGTATGGAATCCTGGCACTTAGGAAGAAGGTAAGGCAGAAAGATCGGAAGTTCAAGGACACCCCAGGCTACATAGCAAGACCCTGCCTCAAAACACGTTTCAAATTATACTAGGAAGGCAATGACAACAAAGTCAGTTCTCTCTCCTTCACTGTCACCATCCATCCTGTCCCCTCTCCTAAGCTGGCTCACAGCCAAGCATGGGAGCTTCAGAGTCTCTCATAGGACACTGAATTCACCAACCAAGCTGCTTTCAGGCAAGTGTGGCCCACACTGAGTTCTGATCCGAAGCATTAGCTCCAGCTCCTGTGGCCTGACATTCCTCAGAGCAAGGCTGACAGCCACACAAGCCAGAGAATGTGAGGAGACTGGCTAACCAGGCTGGATTGGACCAAACCCAGGCTAGGGTCCAGCTTCTGCTCCATTTCCTCTGGCCTGGGGCACTGAGAACAGGGATACATGTGGAATCAGCCAGTGACAGCTATACACACACTATAGAAGGGCTTCCCAGGCTGAACAGGAGGCCAGGCTGAGAGAAATCACCTCTGGTGTCCTGCCTCCTCCAGGTCCCCATGGCACCATTCTGAGCTCCAGCATTTGCCCTGGGCAGGCTCCCTAAGGAACAGGGGTGCTTCTCTCCTCTAGCTACCCCCACAGCGCCCTGGTCAGCATGGGGCTGCTATGGCCCACTCACCTCAGAACCAAACCCCATGCCCCATCCTCTGCCCCCAACTCTACTGGCTTCTCTGAAGGATGGCTGGTTTTAGATTTGGGAGGAAAAGCAATAGTGCTGTGCTGACAGAAATTTCTGAATGGTTTTAAGTCATCTCTCCCTCCCTGTCAGCTACAGATAGGTCTGGATTTTGTACTGCTCATCCCTGAGGATGATCCCAGTTGCTGCCCCCCATAGAGACCCTGTAAGGGGCCACTGTCCATTCATTACAGCCTCTGCTGGAAGCTCTCCTAACCCCACTGCAATAGCACTTTCTACTTGCTCCTTGGAGGCTGATGCACCCCAAAGGGTTCCCACCTCATCCATTTCACCTGCCTTTGGCCCCTCTGTGTTCCTTTGCCTCACATGTCTCTTTTCACCCTCCTCCTTCCTGGCAACACTCATCTTCTGTTCAAACACAGCTTCCTAGCCCCCCCCCCAAACAACAGTTAGGCATCTCTCTTCTCCCCATTGCTGCCATCAGCCCCAGGCTCCAAAGCTGAGGGTGAAGTCCCCCAAGGGATTTGGGGCAACTGTGTCCAACCATCACACTCCTGAATTTATGGGTGTCTACCCTCACCTCTCACTTGCTGTGGACTCTTACTCTGTGTCTCTGTGCCCATGAGCAGAGGATCAGCAATGGAGCCCTCAGTGAAATCTCACCTGGAAAACCAACCTATCTACCTACACCAAGAGTCTTTTAGACACTCGGGGCCAATAACCGGACTCTTGAACCTGTTCCCAAGTCACCTTGAAATAGCTGTCATTGCAGAGCATGGTAGCTCACACCAGTTAATCCTAGCTACTCTGGATGATGATGAGATCTGAGAATCATAATTCAAAACCAGCCCAGGAAGGAAAATCTATGACACGAATCTCCAATTACCTACCAAAAAAGCCGGAAGTGGAGCTGTGGCTCAAATCATACAGTGTGAGCCTTGAACACACACACACACACACACACACACACACACACACACATCCCAGGGACAGTTCAAGCCCCAGTACCAGCACCAAGAAGGGAAAGAAAAGAGAAGCTTAGGGGAAGTGGAAGGGGATGGGAAAGGGAAAAGGAAAGGGAAGGGGAAGGGAAATAGAAAAAGAGAAAGGAAGTTAAGAAAGTTTGTCATCTCTAATGGCTGACAAAAGCATATTTTTGTTTTGTTTTTTAGCTTTCCCAAAGCTCTCATACTTCTTAGTTACCCTGTTAAAAGTCGAGTGTCTGGAAGCTTCCCCCAACTTCCCCAGCACTTCAAAGTAGCCATCAACGAGAGTGGCTGGTCACAGGCTGTGGAATGCTAAGGGTCCCAGGTCCTACAATACTATCCGACTTCCCAAGGAGTGAACTTCACGTTGCTCTTTAGTTTAAAACCCAAACCGTAACATTGTATCCTGGCAAATGGTGTATACCTTAAAATAATTAGTATCTAGTTGATAGCGATTAACAAGTAATCCACGAGGTCTGAGAAAGTGCATGCAGGAAATGCCTGCCTTCCTGTCTTCCCTCGCTGCAGGCAATGCTTTCAGTGGCTCCCGTTTTACACTTGGAAACCCCACACTGCCTCCTGGGACAGGCAGAAGTCCGCGCGGCCCCTGCCCATCTGCCCACCTGCTCGTGGTGCGCTAGCAGCGCCGGCCAAGCGCACAGACGCAGCACCAGCAAGTTGCGCGCCAGCTCCCAGCTATGCCGGCTGCGGTATGCCTCCTGCGCGTTGCCAAAGTCCACGGCGGGCATCGGCGGCCGCACAGTCTCTGCAGCCCTACATCCCGGCACGTCGCCCGGGCCCGCGGAGGGCTGCTCGTGGGCGGCCGGGACCGAGGAGAGCGAGGCGAGGCATGGGGCGGTGGCGCGCAGCGACCAGGCGCGCCTTAGAGCCATGGCGGACCATTTACCCTCCGCACGGCCGCTTAAGTACTCTCCGTCGCCCCGCCCCCTCCGGCCCGGTGGCCATGCCCCCATGCCAAAGCCACGCCCCCTAGCCCTGCTCGGGAGGAGGCCCCCACTCCACGCGTATACGAATGGGCGTGCGACGCGTGCGGAAGGCCCCGCCCACCGAGCGGCTACCTGAGCGCATGGCCAGACTCTCCAGTCAGGGGTCACAGTCCAGCCAGAGACCCAGTTACCTTGACTGCCCTGCGGAGCTTGACCTTCCCCATCGGAGACCCCGCCCTTGAGAACCGGGCCACACTTGGTGGAGGGGGGGACTCCGGTGGGTTCCGAAACCCGCAGGTCAGTGCCTTCGGACACACACCACACACCTGGACCTGGTTGTTTAGCAGCGCGAACGCGAAGCGGGAGCCAGGCCCACAGAAAATCCCGCCCTGAAATGTGGCAGCTTGTTCTCTGTTTTTTAAGGGACATTTGAGACGCCATCCTCTCCCCCTAGGACCACCACCCCACTCCATCCGGTGGCCAAGATGAGCATATCTTGGCATTAGGTTAAACAGGGAGAATTGGAGTTCTTGAAGACGGCTTTCTGATTGGCGGGTTTCCTAACTGGTTCCTGTTACGTTGTGGCACCGGAGATTTACTGTCCTGTCCTTACTTCCTCATTCTTTTGTAGCCCCTGCCTCTTGTCTTTGTCAGCAGGTTTTGGTTTATCACCTTACCCTTCCTTATGCAAGTTTTACAGGCCAAAATTCCCGAACCTTCTGCTAATCTACTAACTCCTATGGCTACTAACCTCCTATAGGGCAAGCATGGAACCCCCAATCCCCCCCCCCGACTTTGTAGCTCCCAGGGGTCCTCCTTCCCACTTTGCTACTACTTGATCTTTGATAATCCCATCTCCTCCCACCCTTGAGTGGCTAAGCAAACCCCCCTGGGGTCTGTGTGTCTGTGTGTGTTGGTACTGGCACTTAAACTCAAGGCCTGAGCACTGTCCCTTAGCTTTTTTCCCCTCAAGACTGCCAATCTACCATTTAAGCCACACCTCTACTTCCAGCTTTTCGGTGGTTAATTAGAGATAAGAGTGTAGTGGACTTTCCTGTCCCAACTAGCTTCAAACTATGATCTCAGCCTCCTGAGTAAGAGTGAGCCACCAACATCTCACTGTTACTAAGGCTTGTATTCAGGGTCAGCAAGCTCTCTCTTCACTTTTTCACTCAAGGTTGATGCTTTGCCACTTGAGCTACACTTCCACTTCTGGCTTTTTGCTTGTTCTTTGGATGTAAGGGTCTTTGGGATTTGCCGTCTAGGGGTAGCTTCAAACCTCAATTCTAAGTTCTCAGTCTCCTGAGTAGCTAGGATTACAGGCATTAAGACACCAGTGCCAACTTCAAATGTGTCAGGGGATCCTTCTTCCCATCAGAAATGCCACCTCTCATTGAGTCAGAATGAAGGAGGCTTGTGAAGGAGCATGTGAAGTTGATACCAGACAGAAGGAAGAGAAATGAGCAAATCACATGTTACAAACAAGCAGAACACCTTCATTGGATCCTATACTGAGCTGGCCAACTTCAGCCAAAGCAAGCTGGCACTGACCAGCAGAGACCAGGCTACTCATTTACCAAAAGGAGGTGTATTGATTTTTCTAGAATGGGCTAAAAGTTTGATGATTGTCCATTATTCATAGCACACTTTCAAAAGCTGTCCTTTATATGCATCATCATCTTGGCTTTGTGCTTGGTGGGCGGATGGGTTGTTATCTTCCCCTGAGAACTGCTGAGTTACTCTGATTATTGAGGTAATCAATCATCTTTTCTTTCTTTCTTCCTTTCTTTTTTTTTTCTTCTTGTTGTTGTTGGTTGTGGGACTTGAACTTAGGGCCTGGGATGTCCCCTGAGCTTTTTCCTGCAAGGCTAAGGCTCTACCACTTGGAGCCACAATGCCACTTCTGGTTTTCTGGTGGCTACTTAGAGAAAAGAGTCTCTTGGATTTGCCTGACTATGCTGGCTCCAAACTGTGATCCTCAGATCTCAGGCTCCTGAGTCACTAAGATTTATAGGCATGAACCACTGGCACCTAGTTTGTATAGTTGTCTTTGTTGTTGTTGTTGTTTTGTTTTGTTTGTTGGTCGTGGGGCCTGAACTGTGGGTCTGGGCACTGTCCCTCAGCTCTTCAGCTCAAGGTGAGCACCCTACCACTTGAGCCACAGCACCACCTCCAGCTTTTTTCTTCTTATGTGGTGCTAAGGAATCGAACCCAGGGCCTCATGCATGCAAGGCAAGCACTCTACCACTGAGCCACCTTCCCAGTCCAGTATAGTTGTCTTTTAGGTAACATATCAATTGTTGCCCCAGCGAGTCTGAGCTCAGATTCTCTTACATATATGTCCCCATGTCATTGGGGATGACAGGCACAAACCACCGCACCCAGCCATTGTGCTTCCCCTGTAACTAGGCTCACTGGCTTGTCTCACTGTACCCAGCATTTGAGTAAGAACTTAAGAACTTTCATGCCTGGGCTGACCTTGAGCAGTGGTTCCTCCACCTCCCAAGCAGCTAAGATTACAAGCTTGAGACATTGCACCCAACTCAAGAGTCAATGTTTTAAGCAAAAGTGGTCTTCAAGTTTCAGCAAAGTAACCTAGGCAACTGTTGTCATAGCCCACATGCAACACTGTTACCTACAGCAAAGCTAATGAGAGGCTAGTAATGGATTACTCAGCTGTGTCATCTCCAAAATTTGTGAATTTTTTTGTCTTTTCTTTTCTGATACTGGGGATCAAACCCAGGACATTGCACTTGCTAGACAAGTGCTTTGTTACTGAGCTACATCCCAGCCCTAAAATGTGGGTTTTTTTTAAGTCAAGAGCAACTGAAAGCCTGATGCTTGTGGGCTCAGGCCTGTAACCCTAGCTATTCAGGAAGGTGAGATCTGAGGATTCAGGTTAAAAAGCCAGATGGAGCAGGAAAGTCCATGAGACTCTTATTTCTAATTAACCACCAAAAAGCCAGAAGCAGAGATGTGGCTCAAGTCGTAGAACACTAGCCTTGTGTGAACTAACAGACAGTACCCAGGCTCTGAGTTTAAGTCTCGGTGCCAGCACAAATAAAAAGGAAAGACTAAGTAAAGCTAAAGGGCTTATTTGGGTTTTTCTTCAGTGAGAATTCCCCCTTGTCTTCATTTATCACTTGTGTGACTGTCTTGAACTCCACTGGTTTTAGGTTGGTCTAGTCATATCCTTATAACTTAGTAGCTCTTTAGAACAGGGCCTTTTGGTGTGTAAATAGTCTGCCCTTGTTAGGACCAGACTAATCTGGTGTTTATAATGAAACATGCTTTTTTTGCCTCTCCTCCCACTTCAATTAGTTGTACAAAAAGGTTTCATCCTGACATGTCCAAATATGCATTCAATGTACCTTGATAGTATTATACAGGAATCTGATCATGAGATACAGAGAAGCTGCATTTTGACAGGTCGAATTGGGAGTCTTTATTAGAAAGCCAGTGATTGCATGCAGACACATGTCCCCCCAAAACTTGCAGCCTTGAATACACTTAATACTGTTAGGAAACTGAGCCATGAGGGTAGCAGAGTAAAGAAAGAGCAGAAAAACAATCTCAACAAACCAGATCAAATCTAATGGAGAGCTGAAGGGGGACACCACAGTGACTTGAGGAGAGTCAGGAGACATGAGGCATACTGCAACATGGAGGCTGAACTAGTCCAGGCCTAATTAGGGCCATGGTCAGGAGGCAGGGTCACAAGGAGCTCAAGAGTCTCCCAAGTTCATGGTATAGATCTGGTCAGTCCAGTAACCTATTGCCCAAGTTCTGGTCCCTGCTCTAGGAATTCAGGCATGCCTGAATGGGATGGGTGGTCTCCTTCATCTACCAAGAAACAAAGATGGTCCCAGTTAGACTCAGTATCCTTATTTCAATAGGACTGAAACCCTCCATTACTCTAGCTTATCCTTCCTCCCTCTTCTTAAAACAATCTCAACAAGTTTCAGTGTTCTGTTTTAATGTGTAAAGGATTTGACCATATTCACCCTCCTTTATACCATGCTCTTAACAGGTAACTAGTTAAGGACTGAGTGTTTGTTTGTCTTTTGTCTCCTTGTGGTGGTTTCTCCCTGTCTTAAAGTGATACTAGTTCAGCCATTGTCTCACATAGCCTCTTCCTCTAGGTCATTGACATTCACAACAACCACCAGGCAGGGGCCTAGACTATTCCATCCCTATTTGACTCAGAAAGCACTAGGGTGGCCAGGCACTGATGGCTTATGCCTGTAATCCTAGCTGCTCAGGAGGCTGGGATCTGAGGATCCCAGTTCAAGGCCAGCCCAAGCAGAAAAGTCCATGAGACTCTTATCTTCAATTAACTAGGAAAGAGCTAGAAGTGGAGCTTTAACTTAAGTGGTAGAATACCAGTCTTGAATGAAAAAGCTAATGAACCTGAGTCCAAGCCCTAGTACACACACACACACACACACACACACACAGAGAGAGAGAGAGAGAAAATACCAGCATAGTTGATTATGTGTGTGACTCACATCTCTAATCCTAGCCATTCAGGATACTGAAATCTGAAGATCACAGTTCAACTTAGTTTGGAGCCACCCAAACAGACAAATCAGTGAGTATCTTGTCTCCAATTAACCAGCAAAGAGTCACAGTGGATGAAAGTACGCATCCCAGAAGACCACAGTCACATACAGGAAAAGGAGCTTATTGCCAGCTGAGACTGACAAGGCCACCTCCCTCATAGGAGAGACAGAAATGGAGCTGTCCGTATTCAGGGGCATCTTTATACCCTCCCAGGACTAGAAGCAAGAGGTATCCATTTACACAGCTGGTCACTGAAGATAGCGCTTAGGCAGAGCAGAGTTTAGGTCTGGGCAGAGAGGGGGAATGAGGACTGAGAAACCCCAAGCCTGGCGCCTGGCACAGGAAGAGTTCTCTTTTCTTTGTGAAGGGCAGGGTGGAGTTCA